TTAGACTATTCAGCCATTATTTATGCGTTTTTGCCTGTTTGGTTATTTGATTGTTTTTTTTTACAGCATGGCTATTTGATTGTTAACTGACAAACATTCTCTTTTTATCCTTAAAACATAAATACTGTTGCTATGGTGAGTTTAGTGCCCATCTGGAGTAGTAATACTGTTGTTTGCAAATCATGGGTTATTACTTATTAGTTACTGCAGAATCTTGGTGACTACTTGGTTCAGTTTACCTTTTATGCTCACTGTCCAATATTGGGGATTTGTTCTTGGTATACATGTGAAACTGAACCTTAAATTTTAATCCCACGTGCTCTGTATTTCCCTTTCAAAAGTACACTGTAGATTATAGCTACATATGGCATCTAGCTTTAACAACATAACTTAATACTGGTAAAAAAGGAATTACGCTACATCTATGTTGTGCTTTGCTCTCTTTTTTTTCAGAATATTCAGATCACGTTTTCTATGCGTTGTTTGAAACGCTGCAATGTAGATATATACTCCCAGCGCACTGCCGCTGGCGTTGACACCAGAGGGTCCTGAGGCCTCGGCATTCATGCCAAGGTGGTCCGATGGAGCCAACAGATCAATTCGGGAAGGCGGGAAGGCCAGCAGGACGGAGGGGAAGGTTGACATCGTGGGCGTCGACCAGGACGGATGAGGAGAGCGCAAAAACTGCACCTCATGACGGTACTCCTGATCCTGGTGCTTCTCTCCCTCTGCTGCCTTGATCGCCTCGGTGCCGTGGCTTCTGCAGACTGCTGGTATGTACCCGGAAGGATGGAGCAGCGACTACGCTGGACTGGACAGTGGACACTGAAGAGAGCACCACCATGTTTCAACACATCATGGTTGCAGATGATGAAACACTTTGATACCCAACCTGTATGGCCATATGGTGCCTGAACAAAGATGGCATTTTTGTAGGGAGTTCCCTATGTCTTGGTAGATCTAGCATTTTAATTAAAGATCTCACTTGTGATTGATCAAATTTCCGAGCATGTTATTTCAACTTCATTATAGACCTCCTTAGGTTGTGTATGCATCAGTACAGGTTTTATAATTTTGTGGAACAACCAGTTCCACAGAGAAAGAAAGGATCGCCTGAATTAGGGACAAGTTCATTTTCTTCTTTTTTGAGGGGAGGGAAAAGTCATCATATCTTTGATAAAAAAAAATTGTGCCCCCTTATCTTAAGCTAAGAGGCTGACTATGTGCCGCCCCATACTACCTGCTAGTGTATCTATCACCTGTCGTAGTTCTGGTCAGGAAGGACTCACTGTATTCTTAGTATATACTTTCTGCATGCAATTCTTAGCTTTGTAACTTAACTGAGGTCGACCGATAGCGGTAAAATTGTACTTCCTCCAATCCAAATTAATTATCGCAGCTTTAGTACAAGTTTGTACTAAAGTTGCATTAAAGCCACGACAAGTAATATGAATAGGAGGGATTACTACATTTTGTATTTCTCTACTGGTTTTGTTGGCCTCTGCTTAAACTTTTGAAAATTAAATGTTGTAAAATGACAACTAAAATTATCGGTAGCCCCTTATGCAAACAAGAATAATAAATCCTTGAACCCCAGCCAAACTGGATCCCGCTTCCAGAGCAGGCAACTTCTTTCTCAGATCCTTTTCTGTTGAGGTACTTCCTCAGATCACTGTTACCACACTAACCAGAACGGAAAACAAGACAAAATTTGTACTGAAAACCAAGCATCCCTCCCGATTCTTTGACGTCCAGATAATCTTACATCCTAGGAAGGGGAGGATCCATGGTTGCTGCCTCCTACCAGAGCCACAAACCCTAGCAAATCACCTCCGCGAAAACCTGAACCCCTGTGTAAATAAACCATTACGGCCTGATAAATCATGAATGACTTGTACTTGTGTGCTGAAAACCAACACTTTTCTGAAACTTGTCTGAGAACTCAATTCAGAATCCTCGTATAAAACTCTGAAGTCTTATTACAGCAAGATGAAATGTGTAAAATGCAAATGTTCAACAGCAATCCAAACAGAAATTCCAGATACATCTCAAAAAATGAATCCCAAACGAGCAAGAAACAGAGCCTTTTCAGGATGCAGATCTGGCCTGTCATGTGCCAACTTTCACCTCCGTCAATTTGCATACGGGCACGACAAGGTGTAACTTTCCTCCATGACCAGGAGGTTCCACTGTGCATGCGGGTCATGAGTCGAGAACACGGACCAGGCAGGAGTGGAGTTCTCGTATCTGTTATGCGTGACGCGGGCAAACTTCTCCACATCCTGGTTCTCCTCCATGTCGTCAGGGTCGATATCAACGGTGAAGATGTCACAGTAGGGCCTCAGCGAGTGCAAGAAGATTGGAGGCGACATTGGGTTAGCGGACACCGCAGTGAGGTCCGATGTCAGAGCGATGCTCTGCCCATCTGGACTGAAGACTGGATGGTTCACGTGCCTGGAGAAATCATACCCGCTCTGGATTACCCTCACCACAGAGCGGTCGATTGTGTTTACCAAGTAAACAACGAAGTTCCCTGGGTCTAGGCCATGGTCAAGCTCCGGCGCATCCGCAGGCCTGTCATGGTTTGATGAGAACACACGATCCAGTCTCTGTTCGGAGATCATTGGCAGTGTGTGTGTGCCAGTCCAATCGCCATCTGTTATCCGTTCCGCTTCACCAGCGTTCTCCCCGGCCTCTGCGTCCATTATGTATAGATTCTTGTATTTGTTGTTTCCTCCACCTCTTGTTGATCAGAAAAAAAGTTCTGTCCCTGTACGAATGTAAATATATAATTGTCATCTTCAGAGGTATACAAAAAAAATCACCATGTGCCGTCTCGATTGTGGAGGGCAACGCAGGATTGTGGAGGGCAACGCATTATTGAATTTTCCCTTTGTGAGCAGTTGTGGCTTCAAAGCCGTGTGGCTGGCCGAAAGCGATGGATTGCATGTCGTGATATCCATGTATCGCATCAACTAAGATCTTGTTTTCTGTTTCTCCAAGTTGGAGATTTTTTATATGTATTTCTAAGGCACTGAATATCGTCCAATTTTTCGGCTTAGATCTCTACGTCTGGCAGGCAGAGTTCACTTGCACCATACATGTGAATCAGCATCATAATGATATTATTTTGGCTGTGTAAATAGATCTGTCATCATAATGCAATTTTTCCCACTCAAACGATCCTCATCTTCAAACAATTTTTCTGTTATTGTTCAATGAGACCTTTTCCCATAGCATATATTACCTTGATTAGCCAGGACTTCAACAAAGCAAACAAAAAAAATGCTGAAATGTGAAGCTTGTTTCATGTTTCCTCTTCTCATCTTAAAAAGCTAGCCGCGTAAAAGGAACCGTCAGTCGATATCCAGCGGCACTTCTGGTTAAATTTGACCGGTCAGCTGGTCATGTACAGATTGCACCGATCGACGGAGAGGCTGGGGGGCTGCCCTCCTTTTCATAAACTAAAAAACTTAGTCATGCACAGATATCCCCTCGAGACAGGTCTACTGTGAGTGTGGATCTCACAATCTCCATGGTTCATGTTAGCTCTTGTAACAAGCATGTGATATTTTTGTGAAGCCAACAAACATGAATAGTACTATCCCCATTTGTTTATCAGTCAAAGAGACTTATTCTTTTCCCTTTAGTATAGACTGACGGTAACTACCTAGGAGCCTCGGACTTGATCAAAGTAAAGAAAAACCATGCTCGACTGTGATGGTTACTTCATAATATCTCTCTCATATGAAAAAAACAGAATTGTTCCATATTTTCTAGTAATGTGCCAGGAACTCACAGTGGGTATCCAGCAATATTTAAAGTTGGTTTAAAAGCAGACCATTCAGTCCTCTTTTTCACCAGAAAACTGTAGGGAAACCCCCAACAGTAAAAAGATCGGTCACTTACTCATTTATTGATGTCCCCTCAAGTCTTACAATTATAATTTAGTAGGTCCAATGTGACTCTGTCAAGGTGGATCTCGCAACTCACATGATTCACATTTGCAACAAACATATGAGAATTTTTGAAGTCAATACATGTGAATTGTCTTCTCACATTTGTTTTATCAGTCAATAAGACTCTAATTCATTTCCCTTTACAACTACAAGGTTCTAAGAAATTACTTTATTAATTAACCATAGCTATGTGAAATTAGTAAACCTCAACTAGAACCACTAGAACCTGCATACCCAATAACTTTTATTCTACCTTCCTTCCTAATCAAATATTTCTTGGTACCAAATGGAATTTTATTCTTCTAACACAAATAAGATATGTTCAGTATGGTATCACATTTTCGTAACAATTCTGAAGATGGTGACGAAAACATATTTTCCTAATAAACATATGTGTAGCTTGGAAAGGAATTAGCCTGGATATAGCCTTCATATGAAGAAAAAAATACCCACAAATCTTTTTCTGAGCATTTCCAATACATGTTGTTCAGACGATAAAAGAATTACAAGCCTTTTTCTGTATCACCTTTCCATCCCATAGTTAATTTACCCTTGCTCTTCCTTTCTTTTTCCATCATCATGATCCCAGTTATATCTTCTTTTTATACTTACCCTGGTAAGTTTAGCATTGCATTTGACATTTGAGAAAGATATTCATTTGCTTGCACCATGGTTCACGACTAACAAAAAATAAAAAATAAGGAAACCCTGACCATGGCGTGTGTTGTTCCCTGTTCAGTATTCCCAGATGGATGGATATCATGGAAAGAAATAAGGAAAGAAAGGAAGTTCTGCCTGACCTTTGGTAAAAGTTTAAAAGATAAATAATTTGGTCGCTGATGCCATGTGAATATTTTATTTGAATCTGCAAGCATAGATAGAGGAAACATGAAGTGAACAACAGGCTTATCAAAATACACACTATGATGGAAAGTTAGAAGCACAAATCGCAGATAAGTAAAGATCCATTCATGACCTTGTAAGGCTTCAACTTGGACCTATCTAAGATTTTCATTTGAGGTGCGATCAACTGCTAGAATCTCAAGAAGGAGACATTTCAACGACACTATATCCTGAAACTTTTGGGACATGTCGTTGCTTCATGGAGTCCCTTAGGTCATTTACTGATTGCCACATCCCCTCTTTAGCATATATGTTAGATAACATAGTGTGAAACCCGTCATGGCGAGGATCCAGATTGACAAGCTTCCTGCCCACCCTTTCTCCAACCTCATTTTCACCATGCTTCCAGCAGGCACCAAGCAATGCACCCCATGCTGGAACATCAGGTAACATGGGCATGCTCTCAATCAGATCCTCAGCCTCCTTAACATATCCAGCACGTCCAAGAAGATCAACCATGCATCCATAGTGTCTGATGTTTGGCACAATTCGGTACTTCTGTTGCATCAACTTGAAGAAGTGGCGGCCCTCCTCAACTAGGCCAGCATGTCTGCAAGCACTCAAAACTCCGATGAAAGTTATCTCATTCGGGATGGCAGTGCCGGATGCTTCCATCTCTGAGAACATCTCAAGGGATTTCGTCACAAGGCCGTTCATGGCCAACCCCACAATGACAGCATTCCAGCAAGGTGCTCCTTTTTCTTCCATTATGTTGAAGACATCCATTGCAGCTTCCAAGTATCCACACTTCATGTACATGTCAATGAGGCTAGTCCCAAGTACAAGACTGATGTAACATTTGTTTTGCCTTACATAATCATGCACCGACTTTCCTTTCTCCAGAGCAGACAGATTGGTGCATGCAGATATAACACTAATGATAGTAACTTCATCCGGCCTGACTCCCTGGGCTCGCATGTGATCGAAGACAGTGAGTGCATCTGAGGATTGGTTATTCTGCACACAACCAGAAATCATTGTACTCCAAGAAACATTGTCCTTGTCAGGCATTGCACTGAACAATGTCATTGCATTTTCGACATGACCACTCTTTAGATAGCCTGCTATCATCGAGTTCCAGGAGAACTGGTCCAAGCAGTCACCGCTGTCAAACAACCTCCGTGCTGCAACAACATCCAGGCAACATGAGTACATGTGGATCAGCACATTCTGAATGTTTAGCAGCGAACAAAGGCCAGCCCTGATAACCAGTCCATGGCACAGTTCCCCATTTCGAATCACCTCTGACTGTGCACAAGCGGCCACCACACTGACCATCAGCGCCTCGTCCACAGGCCGCATCTCTCGACGCATGCACGAGAACATATGCAACGCCTCTGCAAACATGTTGTTCCTCTCAAAGCAAGAAATCATGGCAGTCCACGTGAAAATATCCCTGCACTCAGCCTCGTCAAACACCCATCTTGCCTCGTCCACCATACCCCTCCTCCCAAACAATGATACCATGGAGCTCACCGCTGTGGCATTCCGCTTTGGCATCCGTGCGAACACCCCAACCGCCTGATCAACATCCCCAGCATGCACGTAGGCAGCCAGGATGGTGTTCCACGAAACAGCGTCCCACACGGGACCTGCGTCGAACACCATGCGTGCGTCCCTGAGGCAGCCGCAAACAGAGTACATATGCATCAGGCCGTTCCTGAGGTACAAATCATCACCGAACCCGTGCCTGATAGCGTGTGACTGCACCTGCCTGCCTTCACTCACGTCCCTCCTGGCCGCGCAGGCGGCGGCGAGGATGGGGTGGGTGTAGGCGTCGGGGGACGCCGGCAGGGAGGTGTAGAGTGGTAGGCAGAGGTGCGGCGTCCCAGCGAGCAGGGCCGCCTTGAGGAGCGTGTTGCAGGAGAAGGCGTTGGGGCAGCGGACGAGTCGGAGGAGGCGGAACGAATGGTGGATGGGGAGCGGGAGGAGGCGGGTAGCGGAGGTGAAGAGGAGGAGGCGGCTGGCGGCGAAGGCATCGGCGAGGAGGCCGGAGGCGATGAACTGGCCGTGAATCTGGAGGAGATGGCGCGCGGAGGAGCACCGAGCGAGTTGCGCGTCTAGGAGAGACACCGTGAGCATGGCCGGCGCTACGGCGGCAAAGGGGAAGCAGCGCCACCAGCTACAGGTTCGAACCTTTTTTTTTCGCCTACGGTATTTGTCAGTCGATTGTTTCCTCTCTGGCGCGCTCTCCCTCACTCTTTTCAGTTTGTGTTGCTGCACTGTGCAGCCCAACCAAAGCCGGACTGCTCTGGGCAACCAGCGTGACACCATCTCTAGCAGACCCAGTTCGCGGAAAACGTGTTTCAAGAGCCGGTTTAAACTGCGGGTTCCGGCCGAGCAGACCTTTTAAATTAAAAATGTAAAACTGAATATTCGCTTCTATTTTTTTTTCTTACGTCTTCTTTTGTCTATTGCCCGTGCCCATAATCAACTAGCTCACTTCTACGAAGCCGGCAGACAGCACACGAAGCGGCCAAATACGAAGTCGCCTACGTCTAGGACGGCTCGCACGAAGCCGTCGGCGTCCAGGACGACGTCGAATCGATCCAGGAGTTGTCATCGTAGCTGCTTCATGAGCGAACTAGCTAGCTAGCTCCCATCGATTCGAACTAGCTGGCTACTCCAGGACTCGCCGTCGCCGTAGCTAGCTTGCTCCCATCCCGTTGCCGAGAGAGACGCAGGCGGGCGGCCGGCGTCCAGAGCAGCGTGAACGGCGGACGCGGACGGGTCATGGAGGGCTCCCGCCAACTGCTTTCTTTCGATAGAGGGCACCGTAGAAATGGACATGAAAACCGTGTTTTTACAGATCGGGAGGAGCTTTTTACCGCACCTCTTAAAAAAATTAAAAGGTTGAAGGTGTATAAATTGTCTGACCGGGCTACTTTTTTGTCTAAAACTAAAAACTCACGGTTATTTTACAGTTCTGTAACGCCCCGGATCCGATGCGCCAGGTGTCTGCCAGTTATTCGCCGTCGTTGCCATGTTATTTGCTTGCGTATTGCATTTTATCATGTCATCATGTGCATCTCATTTTGCGTACGTGTTCGTCTCATCCATCCGAGCATTTTCCCCGTTGTCCGTTTCGCAATCCGGCGCTCCTATGCCCTCCGGCGTTTCCCTTTCGTCTCTCGTTGTGCGTGGGTGTTAAACATTCTCGGAATGGACCGATGCTTGTCAAGTGGCCTTGGTATAGCACCGGTAGACCGCTTGTCAAGTTTCGTGCCATTTGGAGGTCGTTTGGTACTACAACGGTTAACCGGGTAACCGTAAAGCCCTCTCTCTTTGCAGGCCAACACCCCCTCCAAAGTGGCCCAAAACCCATCTAAGTCCCCTTCATGCTCTCGGTCGTTCGATCACGACCGTGTGAGCGAAAACCGCTCCTCATTTGGACTCTCCTAGCTCCCTCTACCTATAAAAAGGCTTCTCTCCCCGAAATTTTCGTCGAAACCCTAGCCTAATCCTCCCCGCCGCCACCGGACATGTCGGCGTCGCGCCAGACATGTCCGCTTCACCGCGCCGCCCGCCGCAGCCAATGGCGCGCCGCCACGTGGCCCCGGCGCCCGCGCGCCGCCGCCGGCCCGCCAGG